GAATCGATAGTGTCCGTCAGCGAGGACGAGTTGAGGATGCGTCGGCGAGGCAGAAACTCACATCACCAGCAAGATGACGGCTATCCCGCGACTGATGTGTAGGATACCCGCAGTGGCGTCGCTAACTAGCTCGGAGGCAGCCGTAGCACTCTCCTCCGCAACCTTGTCTGCGCCTTGATCAAGTGTCGAAAACAAGGCCGTAGGAAGCAAAATCGCGAGTATCCTGAGACACATCAGAGGACGCATTGAGAGCCATGTAAGAGAAGGTACATACCCAATCAGTAGCAAGGAATGATTGAGATTGGCGTGATGAGGATGCAACATCTGGTGACGGATGTCGGAACCTCCGACGAGGAAGGCAGTACCAGGAACGAGCAGAAGATGGATGACAATGACGCCTACTCGCATGAGTGTAGTCACTTAACCCAGTCGGCGAGGTGCTCACCAACGACAGTCGACTGAAGCAGTCGCAGGCTACAGTAGACGTCCATTAGATGCAGCGGGCGGAAAGCAGTGCAGTACTCACTCGCATTTGATCAATAAGACGATAGCGATCGATGCTACCACCGCACTATAACTCGGGCTTCATATACACTCCAGGATAGAACGTATGTCCGACTTACTTCTTGAGCGTGACGATGAGCAGATCACCAAAATCTCCCCCGAGGTACAGTAGCATCTGTTCGCCTCCCCACTCAAACATGCGCTCCAAAGGTATTATGGCGGTCAGACATACTGCGTCATCGATTCAGCAAGGACCCAGTGTATGCGAGGACCCAGTGTATGCGACGAAAGCACACTCACGCGCAAATGTCAACGTCTGACCCCACTCCGCCCAATACGATGCCCAAGCGACAGGTATCATTATGAAGAGGACGTTCAGCCCTACTTCCGGACACGTCACGTATTTCGTCAGCGGGAAGGAACCGGCCTGAGAGAAGAAGTACTACTCACAAGACGACAACGCAATATTCTGAAAGCTCTCGGCCCATGCTATCTTTCGCCTCCCTTCGCCTGATAGTCGGCTCCAAAATCGACGCGCTTGGACCGTCCCATGATCGTACTGTGCAGCAACAAATCTGAGACTGCGGGAGCGCAGTATGTTGCCCGAAGAGGAACCATGTCCGCGAGCTTGATTTGCGCCGTGGAGGGATTGGGCATCCGTCTGAATTGCAGGACGGCGATAGTGCCGTCGCTCTTCATCGTTCAAGAGCCTGCCTGTTTCCTCGGTATCATCGACGAAGTTCACGAGAGTTGGCGAGGGCATGGTGGAGGCTGGAGGGAAGGAGCGGATGAATAAGTTTGGAGGACGACCGGTATCACTTGAATGCTGGGTGAAGTTACTGCGGCTAGGTGTGTTGCTCGGTTGTGTTCGCGCTTAAGGTTACTAGTCCATCCACCTTGCGCATCTGTCCACATATATAAAGCAGGAGGAGGCAGGATCGCTCAAAGTGATCGGGCTAGAAGCGCCTCCGCCGCAACGCTCTAAAACATCTGCACACTTCACAGGGCATGCTCTTTCGGTCCGAGTAGAACGCGTCGGCAATGCGCGTCGGCGTGGCTGAGAGCAAGGTCATCAGGCGAACCTCCATGGTCCGAGGCGGAGGACATACCGATAGAGTCGGTTAAAGGGCTCGGTCCGACTCTGCATAGACGCTTCACGGGTTCTAATACGTTCGCCGATACCTTCGAAGAGGTACATCGAGTCGGGTGTCGGAGTATAGGCTCACTTGCAATCCCGAGGAAGTCAGAGTTAGGGTAGCCGTCATCAGCCGGTGGAGAGACGTACCTAGTACGCGCAGGGCGGGTATGTAACACGCACATCAGCACCGAGCGCTACTCCGCAAAGAATCATGGCTATGTAGCTGTAGCGAATTTGTCAAATTGCAAGCGCAGGAGCTACGACCTATACGGAGAATGTCAGTGCGGTGCATGAGGGTGCATATCCGTCAGGTGATGGACCAACATTATTCAGGCATGCTAGTCTTTCTTGACGAACCGTCCAACCCGGTGCCAGAAGAGATGCTCCTCTTCTTCACCATCCTTGCCCCAGACGCTAGCCTCCTTCCACGCATCCATCTTTGCCACCCACACATGCGTCGGACGGTCAAGGCGGCAGCCGTCAAACGCGTGCTTCCATACGGGCGTCCAGAATCGCTGCCACCAGGCGACGTCGTCCCTGTGGCTCAGGACGTGCTCGTAGAACACGAAGGTTCCTCCGGGTCTGAGCACGTCCCGCACGAGCACCTCGAGAGTGCGCTCAGGGTCGGGAATTGAGCACAGAGTGAGAATGGAGATCATAGTGTCGACGGTGTTGGGGCCGCCCAAGGCTGAGACGATCAGTGAGACCTGCTCGGCGCCATAGGGCAATATGGTGAGGTTCCCAGCAGCCTCCGTAAATCCCTTGGTGGCGGCAAGAGTGCGGATCTCTGAATGCATGAGCGCGTTCGGCTCTAGAGCAATGTATTTCGTAACCTTCGTCGGGTCCAAGTACAGTGCGGTATGACCATGTCCTGGAGTGTCAGCCAAGATTAATCAGCACCAGTGGACGAGTAGGACCACGTCCCAAGAAGACGTACCGGCCCCGATATCTAGTACAACATCATGCGAGTTCGCCCTAATGAGCTCTTCCTTGACCGGACGACCATTCTCGTCGACGCCGTTCCCGAACATCTTCCAAACATGGGACATGAAAATCCTCGAGATCTCGCGGGGATGTATGATCAGCAGAGGTGACTGTAAGACTGCAATGACTGTCGGCACGAAGGCCGCTTGAAAGGCGAGCCTCAAATCCTGAAGGATAGCGAATGCCGCAGAGATCCTCATAGCGTCGTGGGGATGGGAAGGAAAGAAAGTGTTCCGCGTCAGTGCGAGCGAAGTATTTCAGATGGTCACATCGCGGTGCGTGTGACATGGTCTAAAAGTTGACTGACTAGCAGAGGAGTGGTCATAGTACGGCTCTCCATGACCGCTTGCTATCTCGGCTACTCACCAGGGATGCTCTCAATCGAGCAGGTAGTAGATGAGTTCACATATCTGTCGGTTGCGAACGACTCGAATGGAGAGAACTGCAAACTCCAGGCCAAGGTCAGGGCTCAAACTGAGCCATATTAAGCCAAAGTTGTCGCACTCGTTAGCCAGAGTACAGAGCAGTTCAACGAAGTGCGATAAGAACAATCAATGCTCCTCTCGACGAAGGTTGGAAGTGGACAAGAAACCGTCAGGGAGCGCCTGAGCGAGACGCAACTTTAGGGCGTCTACATCCACCTCGGCCGCCCGCTCGGCGCGGTGGCAGGCCACTCTCCTCATCCTCAGCCTCGAACTCCTTGGCCCTTTGGCAAACATTGGCTCTACTTGTTTAGCCTGGGTCTTAGCTCTTCAAGATCTGCATGGGCCTGCTGTCTCAGGCGACCGTGAGCGCCGTCGGACTCTTCAGCAAAGCACTTCTGAACGTCGGCTTCTGCTCCTCGGTGACCGTGAAGGGGTTGGAGAACCTGCTGAAGGCTCTGGAGGACGATGAACGTAACAAAGGGCGAGGCGTCGTTACAAGTGAGTTGATCGGACGCTTCTGCTCCCCGTACTCGTCATAACACGTCTCCCAGTGTCAAATCACATATCCACGTGAGCTACTCAGCAAGCTGGACTGCCGAGCAATGCACCTCATAGAAAGAGCAGGCTAGACGACCCAGTCGTTTGGGGAGTGCTTCCCGCACGGTTCTATCGAGACTCGCGAAAGACGCGGTGGACGCTCGGTGCCTCGGACATCATGTTCACGAATCCGTACGTTGCTACCTTGTCCACCGCACGCGCCTGCATACTCATTGCAGAGTGCTTACACCCGCTAGATAGTGTCTTTTCAACTTTCTTCCGCTACGGACAAGTCATCGAGACCTTCCGAGGGAACGGCATCTTCCAACCTGCAATTGACACGGCCATCGAGAAGCTGAACCGTGGCGAATGGGTGAGTGTCCCTGCTCAGGCGTCCGTGGGCACACCGTGTTCACGCGCAGCAAGATACATCTATTCGGCGAGGGCAAAGTCAACCAGGACTCCGGCGACTTCGGCAACCCGAACGCAGGACGTCTGCTGAGGTTCAAGTGGGGGATGTGCGTGGATGAACTCTGACGGACCGTGAACACCACGCTAACAATGCGCTCAGTGGCCGGATCATGATGGAGGCCCAGAGACCTCCAGTCATTATTCCCATGTGGCTAACTGGTACGTTGTTCCTGCCTTGGCCGCCATGTCGCTTCCTCACTCTGTACCCGTTCAAGGCTTCGACAAACTCATGCCCGAAGGCCGCTCTGCGCCATTCAAATTTTTTCCACGACCCGGCGCCGCGTTAAGCATCACCTTCGGCAATCCGGTCCCTTCGCAAGAGATTCAAGACACTCTCCAGACACTCGTTCGCGAGAGACGACTACCGGAAGCCCACGTACCTCCCAGCGCGTCCACTTCACTGGCAGATCCCCCACGGTCGCAAGAAGAAAAACGCAGTGGTGCTATCGCAGAACAAGGGTGGCTAGGCGCATCGGTAACGCAGGCCATGCGTGACGATGCAGGGCGTGCTATGGCGGAGGAAGTTGCCATGGTCAGGAGTGCCGTCACAGCGGTCATACAGCGAGAGGTCGAGGCGCTGGGGAGGGATGTGATGTGCGTGCGGAGGTGACACGAGATCATACTCAGCCTTCTATCGCGCATCCGACTAGGTTGTCTTCAGGGTGATCTCAGTATGGCCATATGTTGGTTACGCTGCATTCAAGTACATACGTACCTCCCAATGCTAGAGCGGACGGCCATGCGGGGTCTTCCGTATCGATGGGAAATAGCGATTGACAGCTCTTCTAACTGGTTGAGTGGACGCGGACCTCGGCAGTAAACTGGATAGGCTGTACAGTAAGGCAACGACTGAAGGGCTACACTACTTAGCCTGACTTGAGGTAGAATGAGGAAGCGGTAATAAAGAGGAACGAACAAAAAGCTTACATATAACCACACTATGCTCGGAGTGAGGATCGAACTCACGACCTCAGGATTACCCATCTCACTCAATGGTCATACGTTCGTATGAGACCTGCGCTCTAACCAACTGAGCCATCCAAGCACATTTATAAGTTGTTGTATGGATATATATCTACAATGCTGCTTCTCCCATAGGCTGGGCTGAGTGTTGGAACGGCCCACGCATGTCGCACTTCGCAAAGTTTCCTCTACGTGTTCGACCACCAGCTCTTAGCATATGCGAAGGTGCAATGATCAGTACTAGTACTGCGAGTGAAAGACCTTTTCCAACTCGGAGTCTTTGCAAAGGCTGCCGACTCATGGCAGCGCCCTGTGACAGAGTCGACAGTGGACACCAATTTAACCCCCGGATGGTAGATCATACCGTTCATATTTCCTAGACGATGAGTTAGCCGCGTTGCTCTTGCTCTCTGTCTTGAAGCTTGTGCTGAAGTTTGACACAGGCTCGGTCTCCGGAAGGCTTCACGATGTGTTGCGCGGCCCACGCTACAAGCACTGACTAGCACGACAGAGTTGGATTGCATGCAAACGAAGACACAAAGGTCAAAGGCGGTCTCCAAGGAGATGTTTCAACTTTCACCGGCTAAATTGTTTTGAGCCGGGTGGCATCTCTCGCTGGATTCGCGGATGATATGTTGCCGCTGGATCCATGACCAGTACCGTTGGCATCTGGTACTCAGACTACTTAGTGCCAGTGCTCCACGCGACTGTCACGCCTGGCTCGACGGCAGCTTGCGTTGCAGCATCGCACTCCGCGCGATCCTCCAGGACGTGAAAGGCTGGCACTGTTCGGCGCATGGAGGTATGGTTCACAATGACGTGAGACGCACACTCTAACATTAGGTGCCGATCTTCTCAGCCTGACCGCCTTCGCGAAGTCTGTCCCCGCATTGACGCTTGCGTCCCACTCAAATCCCACTCCTCCCATCCCGGGCTGCCCCAAGTACAATAACTCGAGAACGATGATTCAGCGCGGTTCCCAAGTATGCCGACCATGCCACCGCTGCGCCGACGCCAAGCTCGCCCGGATGTGCAGATCGTTCCCCGAAGGACGTCCATGCCGGAGCAGGTCCGTGTGCATGACCATAGGACGCGATGGCAATTATTCAATCACTCACATTGTGGCGTAGGATGTCTTATTGTTACAATGGCGAACCACAGAAGGGGTGGTGACGTTGCCTTCTCGCTCGCATCCAGAGGTACAGCTGATCTTTCAGCTGCGCAAAGGAAGGGGGTGCGTCCGAAGAAGTTGACCCAACAAGCGTCACACTGTCGGGATAGGAGTGGGATGCCCTATTCCACTTCTACCAGTCGCACGGCTGAGGGATCGTACTGGAGACACAATTGCGGCCTCTCACACCCACCAGAGAACCGGACGTAAGTGTACGTACTGAGAACGGTTCAGGGGGGCTACCGACTGTTATATAGCTCTCCTCGTTGTGCTCCATCTGCCCATTATACCCTCGCCATGATTCCTACCAAGCCGGTCAACAACTTCTTCAAGTGAGCCATCATATGCCGTCGCTCTCGACCGTGAGCTCATGCCTCTTGTCCTCAGGGAGCCAGAGTTCGAGACCATCCAGCTGCACGCTGGTTACGAGCCCGATATCGCTACTAACGCTCGTGCCCCGCCTATCTACGCCAGCACGAGCTATGTCTTCAAGGACTCAAAGGTTCGTTCCCTTGTTATACTGGCGTCATGATCACCCATGTCTATGTATCGCTTTACAACAGCACGGCGCGGACCTCTTTGGCCTACGGTGCGTAGGTCATGTTGATATTCCTCACGCATGAACTAACGTGTCAACTTGCTCAGGACTACGGGGAACATCTACTCGCGTATGAGTAACCCTACAGTCGTACGTGTCCATACAATCTGGCCGTGTCGACATCCAGGTAGCACAGCTCACTCGACGTGCAGAACATCTTCGAGCGCCGTATGGCTGCTCTGGAGGGCGGTATCGCTGCGGTAGCCACGTCCAGCGGACACGCCGCGCAGTTCATGGCAATCGTCGCCATCGCAAGAGCGGGTGATAACATCGTCACATCGTAGGCTCCCTTCATCTCCGGTGATGTGCGCGCCTGATCTATTCCCTTAGTTCATACCTCTATGGTGGTGTAAGTCGTCAACCGATATACCAAGGACATGTGGCGAGACTGACAGCATGCTTCTGAAGACCTACAACCAGTTCAAAGGTGTGCATCTCACTTCCCACCGAATGTTCTCCGCGAGCTGTACCTGACGCACTCGTCACAGTCTTCATGAAGAAGTTCGATATCACCATGAAGTTCGTACAGAGCGAGGACCCCGCGGATTTCGCGGCAGCTATCGACGAGAAGACCAAGGGCATCTACGTAGAAAGCATAGGCAACCCGAAGAACACCGTCGCTCCGCTCCCAGAGCTAGCCAAAGTAGGGTCTCATACTAGGCCCTCTTCCGCCTATTCTCCGCATTCACCATCTTTCTGTGACAGGTGGCGCACGACAACAAGATTCCGTTGCTGGTCGATAACACCTTTGGCATGGGAGGTAAGCGATCTCAACGTCCACGGACAGCTTCAGCTCCACCCTAGTGCTGACACCTCAATCAAGGCTACCTCGTCCGCCCCCTCGAGCTCGGCGCCGACATCGTCACCCACAGCGCCACGAAGTGGATTGGGGGACACGGCACCGTCCTCGGCGGAGTCGTCATCGACGGCGGCAAGTTCGACTGGGCCGGCTCGGGCAAGTTCCCCGAGTTCACCGAGCCCGCGGACGGCTACCACGGGATGCGCTTCGTCGAGCGGTTCGGCGACGCCGTCTTCGCGGTCAAGTGCCGGCTCGACGTCATGCGCGACCTCGGCCCCGCCATGGACCCCTTCCCCGCATTCCTCCTCCTGCAGGGCATCGAGACCCTGAGCTTGAGGGGGCAGAGGCACTCGGACAACGCGCTTGCTCTTGCGCAGTGGCTTGAGACCCACCCGAAGGTCTCGTGGGTCTCGTACCTCGGGCTGGAGACCCACCCGTCGCATAAGGAGGCGTTGAGGCTGTTGCGGCCCAATGCGTTTGGGGGGATGCTAAACTTTGGGATCAAGGGCGACGCAGCAGTTGGGAGCGCGGTGGTGGACGCGTTAAAGCTTGCGAGCAACCTCGCTAATGTCGGTACGTGGTTCTGACATACCACTGGCGATCGTGCTCGCGGGACTCATTGGCTGGTACATGATACAGGTGACGCGAAGACGCTAGTCATCCACCCAGCAACGACGACGCACCAGCAGTTGACTCCGGAGGAGCAGTCCGCGTCAGGAGTTACCCCCGACCTCATCCGAGTGCGTCATTTCTGCTTCACTGCCCGTCGCAGTCACGGTCGTGCTCACCAAACACAGGTATCCGTCGGCATAGAGAATATCTCAGACATCATCGCGGACTTCGAGAATGCACTCAAGGTCGTCCCTTGAGCTGACCAGTGACTGGTGCGACGACAGGGGAAGCATGTTAATCAACGGCGGTGCAATGTGTACGAGTACATGTCTACATCTCGGCCTATCGAAGATTACACCCGCTCCGTGACATTGTCCGATTATCCAGACGGGGCGTCACAAGGCGCGGTCAGGGATCCCTCTTGACCTTGGCGAAAGCTCAGTACACACCGCCATGAGCGAGCAAGTTCCCCTCAGCCTCCAATTCCCGCGCGAAGGGCAGGCCCCGCCTCAGTTCTGGTGCATCAGCCACTCCGCCCTCAGTTCGCTCGTGCAAGTACGCAAACACCAGGTAAGTCCATTTGTACAGCCTATCATATGATCCGAGGCGTCCCCTCGCGCTTCCCTGATGATGTCGTCCGCCATCGCGTCGAGACCAAACGCAGCACCTGGTGGACTAGTACCGCCTCCCCATACGCTGCCCAGTCACGAAGAGCGCGATGTTCTCCCTGGTACGCTCCACATCGCAATGCTCCGACCCGTCGATGCCACTGTACGCAGCCGCCACTTGTCGGATCTGGCCGCCTCCTCTGTACGTATCCCAACTGGCCCGACGATCATCAGCCTCACTGACGCTGTGGCAATAACAAACGCAGCGGAAGGTGAACGTATCTGCTACGCTCTTGAGTGCTCCACATATCTGCGGGGACGCCATATCTGCGGGAAATTGGCTGGCCAATCTTGATGAAAGGCCCGTCAGTATGTACTCGGTCGAACTTCCGCTAGGCACAGAACTCACTGGCACCTCTGGGTCCTCGACGCAATGAGCACCCTCTGCTGCTCGAGCAACTCCGCCGGGGCGCGATGCGCATTCGCGAGACCTCTTGCTATAGCAGGGTGCGGTGGTGCGCCTAAGTTGCGCGGAGGATCCGAGTCCGGACGAGGTCCCCGAGGAACGTCACCTCGACGAGTGTCACTTCGGCGATTCCTGGCAGTGGCCCGCCGCCGGGAACACGCTCGGCCCCGAACTCAGGTTGTTCTGCCGACCTGTCCGTTGGGCTCTCTGGCTAGACTGTGCGGGACCTCCCTATCTGAGTCACTTTGGAGAAGAGCTTGAACGTCGGTGCGCATGACGGAGTGGCCCGAGTTCGCGAAGGGTGAAGGTTTGCACCAGCTATTCAGAAGGAGCGATTATCTTCCGAGGCTGATTCGCGAGCCCAGAAACAGTGGCCGTCGGGTCAGTAGTGCTATCCACGCGATCCGGAGAGACAGTCCGAATTCGAGGGCTCACTTCACCCTGCTGTGGCTTGCCAAGTTGGGAGCGCGCGGATGTCCCTGCCTTCGTCTTTGCGTCCTGAATTAAGTAGGATGAATACGACTCTGGCCGCCACTGTCCGCGAGGTTGTCTGCAGGTGCCTGTGGCACCGTCGGGTTGCCGGCTTTTCGTAAATCAGGGTGCGTGTAGTAACCCTGGAGAGGATCGGTGCCTAGGCTTTGCGCACGAGCCGTCGACGTACTTATCCTTGCAAGGACGTCGACTGTGTGACAAGTCTCAATGCCGCATGGTCCTCACGTACCGGAAACGTGAGGCATGGAGTAAGAGTACCACCAGCGGGTCCGTTCCGAGAGGTTCCCTGAGTCAAATAACATAGAGTGCTTCCGATGGCGGTTCAAACGTTCAAGT